GAAGTTCCCCGGGGGTACTCCCAGCCGCGCGTCCTCCGCAAAACTTGGTTCTCTTGGGCTCGGGCTGACTGGGATGGCATGATGGAGCATCTCGACGAGGAGAGCTCTGCCCTACTCGCAAACCGGCCGGCAACCAATGTGCAATTCGCTAAGCGAGTCGCTTCGACGTTCCGCCGTGCTGTACACCAGTTTGTCCCCCGGTATCGACAAGGACGTCCGTACAAGGAATGGTGGACCCCGGGGCTCTCTGCTCTAGAGCGTGTCAAGGGGGCGGCCTTCACCGCCCTCCTCGCCGACCCTGACGCCCCACACGCACAGCGCGCCTACTCCGACGCGGTCGCCAGATTCGCGTCGGCGGCCACGCAGGCGAAGGCGGCTCACTGGAATGCCTTCTCCGGGAGGATCAACCGCTGCACGGACATTGGGCTGCTCTTCCGCCTGATCCGCAAGATCGACGGTCGAACGCAGCAGAACAACATCCCCCCCATCCGGCTCGGTCACTCATATTATGTGGCCGCAGACGGGAAGACGGAGCTTTTTGGGGATCACCTCAAACGGGTGTGCGGCGGTTCGACAGCTACCAAACCGCCGCCGTGTTCCCCGCTAAAGAACCATCCAACGACGACGCTGGCTGCGGGCTCATCACCGCCGACGAGCTCGATCGGGCCCTCGACAACCTCGACCCGAAGACTTCGCTCGACCCTGACGGGCTTTGCAGTGAGTTCCTCCGCCGACTCACCGACGGTGCCAGGGCCCTCATCCTTGAGTTGGTCAACATTTCGTGGGAGGAAGGCTTCGTTCCCGAATCCTGGCGAGACGCCCACGTCGTCCCCGTCCCGAAACCAGGACGGGACCACTCCTTGCCGGAGGGTTACCGGCCGATATCTCTTACGAGTGTGATCTCCAAGGTAATGGAAGTCATCGTGAAGAATCGGCTCGAGTACCTCACGGAAAGCCCGCAGCATCCTGAGGTCCGGCGTTTCAACTCGCGGCAGGGCGGCTTCCGCAAGGGTCGCGGTCCCGAAGAGCAGCTGTTCTCGATAGTTTCGGCTCTCGACTCTGCCAGGAACCGTCTGCTGTTCACGTGTTTGCTGTCGTTCGATCTGGCGAACGCGTTCGATACCGTCGACCACGGCAAGCTGATGGACATCCTGCAGCGAAGAGGGGTGCCCGCCAAGTTCCTTCGCTGGATCGAGGCCTTCCTACGGAACAGGAGGGCGGCCTACAAGATCGACGGAGCGACTGGCCGCTTCTTTGACTTGAATACCGGCGTCCCCCAGGGGACGGTGCTCGGCCCCCTTCTGTTCCTATACTACATCGACGACCTCGGTTCGGACCTCGATCGGCTGCAGCGCCGCATCCATCAGGACAACGTCGGGGCGACGATAACCTTCTCCCTGTATGCTGATGATGACGGCGTTGCAGTGGAGGCCCGCACGTTTGCCGCCCTCGAGCAGTACGCGCAAGATGTTGTCGACGTGGTGGAGCGCTGGACGGCGCAGGCGCTGATGTCCCTGTCCGTTCTGAAGACCAGAGGTGTCTTCTTCGTTGGAAAGAACGCAGCCCCTTTCCCCCCACCGAACGTAGTCTTCAAGGCGACGAGGGCTGACGTCCCTGTTCCCCCTGCTGACACCGAACGGCGAGTGTCGGCAGAGGGTAGATTGGTGGGGACGAACACGCCACATGACGGCAAAACATTCGTTGGCATCGCGTTCGGGCCCGTAACAGAGGCCAATGCCGGGCTCACACTGCTCCACTCGGTGGTTACCCTTCAGTGGGTTGACAAAGTGAAGCTTCTTGGGTTAACCATCGACCAAGGATTCACCTTCCTCCCTCACCTCCAACGGGTTGTCGATGGATTCTCGCTGAGGATGAACCTCCTTCGACACCTGGCCGGCAAGGATTACGGCTTCAACGGCACGGTTCTCCGCACCCTGTATCTCTCCTATGTGCTACCCACGTACACGTACGCACTCGGAATCTACGGGCCATTCATCCTCCCCGCTAATGGGCCCCTCACAACACTTGAACGCATGCATCGTCGTGCCCTTACCCTCATCCTGGGCTGTCGCAAAGGCGTCGCTGAATTCGCCGGGCAACAGGAGACTGGTATCCTCCCGATCCGCGCGCTCGCAAAGTGCAGGATCGCGGCCCTCCGGGAGAAGGTTGAATTCAACAAGGTTCTGTGGGCGCACGAGCTTTCCCTGGACACGCTCCTGAAGTCGACGTCCGACAACATCCGCAAGAAAGCGGGCACGGACGGTTGCCGTCGGGAGCTCCGCGACTTCCATTTGTTCGCCCCCTGGGTTCCCAGGCCCGACGTCGAGATCTACACGTCGCTGAAAGTCCGCAAGCACGCCAGCAATGCGGAGAAAAAACAAGCGGTGCTGAAACGCCTGGCGGAACTACCCACCCGGACTGCGTCGCCTGGCCAGACGGCTCCGTTGTACACGGTGACCCCCCTCTGCCCTCGATCTGCGACGCCAACGCCAGCGCTGCCCTACGCCCGTGGCTGAGGAGCACGGCGGACCGTACGACCTGGGGGGCTGCCGGCGTGTTTATTGATCTTGGGCCGTCGGTCACCATCAAGCCGGACCACGGCCTGCCCGTCAAGCCCACCGACGCACGTTCGATGCCTCTTTGCCCGCCGGCAAACACCCGCACAGCTACCGCGCCGAGGAGTTCGCGCTCTACAGCTGCCTGAAGTTCCTCCTGCGCCTCCTCCCGCCAACCCCGACGCCGCTCAACATCCTCGTCCTCAGTGACTCTCAGTCACTCCTGATGACGCTGAGCCACGGCCCCCATTGCCAGACGCAGCCGTACCCAATCGCGATCTGGCTGCACCTGGCCGAGTTGGAGTCGCTGGGTTACACCGTGACGCTGCAGTTCGTCTTCGGCCACTGCGGCCTCGAAAGGCAATGAGAGGGCGGACAAGACCGCAAAACGTGGTGCACTCGCGTTCATGCGGGCGGCCACCGACGCCGCGGCCAAGAATCAACCCCCTCCGCTCTCGGCACGCCTCGCGCCACGGCCGCTAACGGCCGCTATCGTTCCGTCCTCTGGCTGGAGAGCAGTGAAGCTGGAGCACGAGACGCCTTGGACAGGGCCACCCTCCTCAGGAACCCGTCGTCGTTCGCCAGGTTGGTCTTTGGCCGCCGCATCCCCCGCCCCAAGCACTTGGCACCACGGGCGGAAAGAGAGGTGCGGCAGCTCCGCACTGGCCACCACCACCTGGTGATGACCATGTACGCCACCGAATGGCGCGACCTCTCGAGGGCGGATCGCAGACAGGCGTTTCTCCCGTGCCCTATTTGCGGCACCCGGTCGTTGGCCCCGCTGCTCCACCTCTTCGTCGGGTGTGACGCCCCTGCAGCTGTGCAATCCCGGCTGACGATGGACGCCGATCTCGACGCGAAGAGCCGCCTCCGCTCGAAGCCTCCGCCCGCCGATGCCATGGAGCGCCTCTGGGCAATCCTCTTCGTCTTCCCGGAACTCGCCCTGGCCTACCTGCAGAGGTGCGGCACTCTGCCGAGCTACGCCATCCTCGCCGGTCAGGCGTCCGGCGAGCCCGTGGGTGGCGGCGCCAATCGCTCGATCACGCCTGACGCCGCCTCCTCGCGCTCCGCCGACTCGGAAGACGCGATCTCGCGCTGAGGGCGCTCGCCACCTGCTTGCGCGCTGCTGGCTGAACGGCGAGCTCGGGCTGTTGCCCATTTGAACATGCAATGTATAGCCTCTATTCGAGCCAACCCGGCTTCTCCTGCAACAATTCTGAAACTGTATTGTATTTGGGACTAGATAATGGCGCTGAGCAAGCTTTATTTTTCCCTGGCGAAAAGCATAGCCGGGGCAGAGTCAGCGGGCGCCGGCCTACGGACCGTGCCCAGTTACGGGCCAGTACACAGCCATAGTCAGTCCCCAACGTCCCGCCGGTGCCTCGATACCCGGCCGTCAAGGCCCTACGGGGAGAGGCACGCAATCAAACAAGCAACCGTGTGCTCCGCCACACCACACCATCCTTTCATTCCACCATGCTTCCACATTCCAACACTCTCCCCCCCTCCGAGTCCAGTGGCAGAGAAAGAAAGAAAGAAGCCAGAGGTCTCCCGGGTCTTCCACCTGGCCTCACTCAACCGCCACCTGGCTGGTTTGTGTGAAAGGCTCAGATACTGGACACCCACGCACTGATAACCCCCCTGTTCCATAGCCCATCTCTCTTGCATGTGTCTTGTGTCTCTCTGGCATGCCTTCCGGCCCGAAGAGGCCCGTAAGCCTGCCCGAAAACTGGAACGCGGCTCTCCGGAGCCGCCAAAAGAATGTGGTGCCTCTTGCAAAAAAAAAAAAAAAAGAAATTGAAGTTCCCGTGGTCTAGTTTGGTTATGACGTCGCCTTAACACGGCGAAGGTCTCGGTTCGAAGCCCGAACGGGAATACTTTTTTTGGCCCTGGATTCGACCCAAAGTTTGGGGGGGGAGAATTCCCATTATCACTTCTTATGTTTGTGCCATTCTCGAACACTATTTACACTTTTTGCCCATTCTCGAACACTCGCTAACTTTTTGCCCATTCTCGAACACCTTTTTAACTTTTTGCCCATTCTCGGTAACTTTGGTGCCCATTCTCGAACACTATTTACTGGGGGGGGCCAATTACAATTGAGTTCAATTGTAATATAACGATACACGGCGTGGAATTGGGGGGTCCCAGACCCCCCCCAAAAAACACTAGTGTATTACAATTGAAGTGCAGCTTGCCTGTTAGAAACACGTTGTTGTCGGACTAAATGACAGTACACATGCAACTCCGAGCAAAAACTGAAGGGAAAACCTTCACGCAACAGCGAAAGGTTCGAGCCCGCATTCGGACTCCGAGCCCTGATTTCTCGTGCACCGGGTCGGAAATACCCGCAGCCGTGGGTGTTTCCACCCAACACCTGGCAAGACTCCTGCCAAGACTCTTGGGAAGAGAGTACCCTAACTTGGGCCTAAGGTTCACTTTCTGGGGCGGTTGCTCAAAATCAGAGTTTCCAACAGCATGGCGACCGCAGTCCGACGAACTTACTGCTTTCTCTTTTTGACAGAGAGCGCTGGCGGCAGACGGGTACCACCGACAAATCTGGGGATAACAAGATGTCCCATCCGATGGGCCATCGCCCCCATGCCGGGTCACGATTGGCAGTGTCTCCGGCTCAGCACCGGCGGCTGGCTCAGCAGCTCCGGAGCCACCGCCACACTGCGATTGCCGGCCCATTGCCATGTTTCGAGACTGGAGGTCCTATGAACATGCAATGTGAATAGCCTCTATTCTACCTGTTCGTCCATCCCGAGCACGCCCTGTTCTACCTCCAGAGAGCTGGCGCCCTCCCACCCTTCCAAGTCCTTGTGGAGTCTGACAAGGACGAAGCCCCCCCGAACCACGAGTACGGGCTCGTGCCCATCATGTGAGGCAACGTCACCCGTCCACGCAGCGGCTGCAGTCCGAGGCAGGGGATCGCCGGGGCCTGGGTACTCTCGCGCCGGCCATCCTGAACCCGTCACCTGCCACGGTGCTCTCGCAGTTCGCAGCACGTCGCCGTCGACGCCGGACGACGCCGCACCGCCCCGCGCAGCCCGACTGAGGCTCCGCGTCCAGCGCGCGCTTCGTACGCATCGCCAGAAGAGGACGCAGGCTAACCGCTGAGCGAAATGTGCACTCGTCTTATTTTCTTAATTGGTACAAACGTGCACTCGTCTTATTTCACAAGACTCTTGTCGAGATCGTACAGTTCAGTCTGCTGCGCTCCAGTAAGCACCACTCGGAACCCGGCTGGAAGGCCCTAAAGGGGAGTAGTCGGTGCCAGCACTTTATTGTTGTCCATCCCCACCCGGACTCCTCCGTCAACGAGTCCCAACAAACAACATCAATCGGTAACCCCCCCCTCGTCCCTACCCCAGCTCGCAGCCGGAACAGCTCGGTGAGGACACTCAGCGCGTCGTTGCAAAGGTTCGTCGCGAATTGAACGCCAACACGGCAACGAGTTCAGCACGAGCAAAAGCACGACGAGCAAAGCGCAGTGCCGCTCGAAACCACGGAGCAAGTCGTAGCGCAGGCAGAACCCGAGAGACAAAGCCGTCCACAGCCCAGACTCCGGTCAGGGCCAAACACACCCACGACGGTCCTCGAGGGCATGCCAAGCTAACGAAACACCTCTTTTTCGTCACAACACAACCAGTATCCCCCCTTATCCCCCCTCGTCCCTTCCCCAGCTCGCAGCTGGAACAGCACGGTGAGGGCACTCAGCGCGTCGTTGCAAAGGTTCGTCGCGTATTGAACGCCAACACGGCAACGAGTTCAGCACGAGCAAAAGCACGACGAGCAAAGCGCAGTGCCGCTCGAAACCACGGAGCAAGTCGTAGCGCAGGCAGAACCCGAGAGACAAAGCCGTCCACAGCCCAGACTCCGGTCAGGTCCAAACACACCCACGACGGTCCTCGAGGGCATGCCAAGCTAACGAAACACCTCTTTTTCGTCACAACACAACCAGTATCCCCCCTTATCCCCCCTCGTCCCTTCCCCAGCTCGCAGCTGGAACAGCACGGTGAGGGCACTCAGCGCGTCGTTGCAAAGGTTCGTCGCGTATTGAACGCCAACACGGCAACGAGTTCAGCACGAGCAAAAGCACGACGAGCAAACCGCAGTGCCGCTCGAAACCACGGAGCAAGTCGTAGCGCAGGCAGAACCCGAGCGACAAAGCCGTCAACAGCCCAGACTCCGGTCAGGGCCAAACGCACCCACGACGGTCCTCGAGGACAAGCCAAGCCAACGAAACTCTTTTTCGTCACAATTTTATCAACCGCCCCCCCCCCCCACTCCCTCCTAACCCCTAACCTGTGGACCTGTCACTCGTGCGCGTGTCTCTTGGCGCAAATAGGCTAGTAACGCCTGACCTGTTCCAGACGCGGCTCTTCTGAGCAGCGGATGGACGGTGCTTGTTTTTCATTCATTCATTCATTCGAGCCAACCCGGCTTTTCTCCACTTCAACAGTGCGACGGTCTCCGGACTCACAGGTCCGCGGTTCGATCCCCGCGCGAAGTGTTTTTTTCGGTTTGAAGTTTTTGAGAATTTTTCGAGACGGGAGGTCCTATGAACATGCAATGTTCACCAGAACTTTGCTTCACCCGAACTTCGCCCGAACTTTGCTTCGCCCGAACTTTGCTTCACCAGAACTTTGCTTCACCCGAACTTAGCTTCGCCCGAACTTTGTTTCGCCCGAACTTAGCTTGACCCGACCTTTGCTTCGCCCGAACTTTGCTTCACCAGAACTTAGCTTCGCCCGAACTTTGCTTCGCCCGAACTTTGCTTCCCCAGAACTTTGTTTCGCCCGAACTTTGCTTCACCAGAACTTTGCTTCATCCGAACTTTGCTTCCCCAGAACTTAGCTTCGCCCGAACTTTGTTTCGCCCGAACTTAGCTTGACCCGAACTTTGCTTCGCCCGAACTTTGCTTCACCAGAACTTAGCTTCGCCCGAACTTAGCTTCGCCCAGAACTTTGCTTCGCCCGAACTTTGTTTCGCCCGAACTTTGCTTCACCAGAACTTTGCTTCATCCGAACTTAGCTTCGCCCAGAACTTTGCTTCGCCCGAACTTTGTTTCGCCCGAACTTTGTTTCGCCCGAACTTAGCTTCACCAGAACTTTGCTTCACCCGAACTTAGCTTCGCCCGAACTTTGCTTCACCAGAACTTAGCTTCGCCCGAACTTTGCTTCACCCGAACTTAGCTTCGCCGAACTTTGTTTCGCCCGATCTTAGCTTCACCAGAACGTCCGAACTTTGCTTCGCCCGAACTTTGCTTCGCCCGAACTTTGTTTCGCCCGAACTTAGCTTCACCCGAACTTTGCTTCACCAGAACTTAGCATTGGAACCCCGCCCGGGTTTTCCCGGGTTTGCGGGTTTGCGGGTTTGCGGACTTGCACGACCAGACGATCCGCGTTACACTAGTGCATCAAGCAAGGGGCCAATTACCATTCCAGCACCATTTTCAAACTTTTTGCCCATTCCAGCACTATTTCCAAACTTTATGCCCATTCCAGCACTATCGCAAACTTTTTGCCCATTCCAGCACTCTGCCCAAACTTTTTGCCCATTCCAGCACTCTGCCCAAACTTTTTGCCCATTCCAGCACTATTCCCAAACTTTTTGCCCATTCCAGCACTATTTCCAAACTTTTTGCTCATTCAAGCACTATTAGTATTACCACCCTTTACCAATATTATGGCAAAATCAACACTGCAATTTCCATACCTTCGGGTTTTACCATCTGCAGGGGGGGGCTAAATACACGGGAGCCAAGCTTCACGTGTTCGGCGGTACTGCAGCCACGGGCCTACGGGTCAAGTGGCTCCCGATTTCCCAGACTAAAGCATCAAGGCTTGGCGCACCTCTTGGCGCTCGCGCTGATTCGCGGCTGAACGCAAGCTCGTCGAGACGGTCAGCCGCAGGGCAGAGCGGACGGGGTTGTGGCACTGTGCTGCCTCCGACTCAAGCTTTGCAAGCTGTGGTTGACCGTCACGTTCCTGGACCAGGAGCGGCCTTTTTCTTCTCTTCTTTCTTCTACAGAAGTCGCCTTGTCATGCGGCCAAGACGGAGACAGTCCGGACAACACGTAGCCAAGCTGCACGAGCCGATTTCGTCCAAGGGCGCCCACCAAAGCGCCACCTACAAACGCTCCGCCGACGTGCGCCACCTACACTACGGGTCGTTCCAAAATCACTCTACAGTAGGAGTCTACTTCTCCACTGATTTTGCGGAATCTTCTACGACCGGCAGGCGGCAGCAGTAGATCTCGAGATGGCGACGCCACAGCACTGGGCGTCGCCCTTCGCGACCGCCGACCACTGATGACAAACCGGGTTCATCACGCTACTTAGTACGCTTGCGCACAGTCACTGACAACTTGACAAACGTGTCACGCAGTGTGGGGGACAGCCACTGCAGCCAGTGGCAGCCACTGGTGGCTCGATGGCTCAGAATGGCTGAGATTTCGAAAAGTTTTTTTTGGTGAAAACCCTGGGGTAGGGGGGCAAAATGCCGAAAAGACAGTGCGAGACTTAGCTAGCTATTTGGCCAGCTACATGTAGCTCTTTTTAGCTATTTATCACTCATTCCACGAAAAGTGTCACAGATTTGGTGAAAACCCTGGGGTAGGGGGGAAAAAATGCCGCGACACTTAGCTAGCTATTTGGCCAGCTACATGTAGCTATTTCTAGCTATATATCACTCATTCCACGAAAAGTGTCACAGATTTGGAACAATTTCTGGGGGAAAGAGTCGATCCCATGACAGTAGAAGAGGGATCAGAGTTTTCTTGTACGGAGGCTGCTTGTGCTGCGGTAAAATTAGATGCTGCTACCGCAGGAAAACCCGTGTATCAGTCGCACCGCAACGGACTGACTGT